TTTGTCCAATGTAGTACAATTTGCCCTCCTCAAAAAAAAATTGCCTTATAAAAACTCGAGAAACAAGAAATAAAAAAAGTCTGGCCTTAGTTTGTACAATCATGAAGCTAATGTCCCATGGTACAATGAAATAGCATTATTTTGTGAGAAACGTGTCCTAATATTTCTTGAAAATCGCTATTTTTAGAACAATTTCATAGAACACAATGTTAAAGAAAAATTGCATTTTTTGACACTTTTTAAAACCCAGATTTTTTAAATAATTCCGAACAAAAAGTACCCCATCATTAACAATATATGATTTTTTCAGCCTATGTCACCAGGCTAGATTTTGAGATATTGCATAATAATTCTGGGTTTTTTAATTTATGAGTAGGCTTCTACCTTACTTGAATAACATTTCTTGAAGATTATTTGAAAATTTATCTATATCAAGAGTGACAAATGACACAACAAAGGCATTCATCTTCACAAAGATTTATAAATGTCAATGGCGGTTGAATCAAACAAGCCAATCAATGAGGGCAGCGACATTATTTAAAAAATGTTCCAATGTTATAGGTGATTTTCCGTACAACTGCGAGATCTCGCGAGATGCATGAAAGACGCGCGTCGAACGTCTGCTGCAAAAATGGAACGATTTGATTTTTAACTCGAATTTCTTTATTTCGTAGCGCACATCGACCGGCCGATCTTCGACAGAGGAATATTGCATTCGAATATCCTCACTTAATCGAAATTGCCCATCATCAAATGTGTAAAGCACATTATTAAGCATGGAAATGTTCCCCAAAATACTTTCGCGTTTGTCGAATCTCACGCGATGTTTGACGCCACTACGACCTTTGTTTGTCCTGTTTTTACGTTCGATTTCACGCATAACGCGTGATTCTCGCAGTGAACGGAAAATGGTCTATTCAATCGACCAATAGAAACCTCTCATTTTCAGTTTGAATTGTGAGATTTATAAATAAAGATGAAGGGAATGAGTTTGTTGCGCAAGGGAGTATGTAAACAAAAATAAACATTATTGCGTTCTATTTACCAGTTTATTTAAGGTAGCGAGACTATTATTTGCATACTTGTTTTCATCTTCTAATTGTGACTAAATATGACTACAAAAAGACCCAGGAAAGTATACATTTTTGGAATCACCAGACTTCAAGCTTTTCAAAAGTGTGTTTTTCTGCATTCTACGACGCATTACTCAATCAAAGGTAAAAAATTACTTTTTCTGTAAAAAAAGTTACTAGAGAAAGGACAAGTGTTCTATGCAGATTAATTCTGTTTGTGTTAGCAAATTAGAAATAAGTTTCTTGATTGGAAACTGTCTAAAATAAAAGTACAATAATATCAAAATACCTGTCTGTAATAATTCCTTTGGGCAATGTATTCATCTACCTTAAAAAGACGCACATGAAAATTCATGTAAGAACAGGTTCCATCACCCATGTATTAGCACATTTTTTTTTAATTTTATAAAAATAGTTTCATTATCCTGAATTTTAAACCATGGTAAAGAAACTTTATAATAAAGTTCCATGTATTGGTAATCGGTAAAGCACCTAAAACGATATCACATTTGTGTAAAAAAATTGAGCATAGCATTTTATTCCAAATATTCGTAATATAAATAAATATTACAAATTGTTATAAATATGTTTATAAACCAAGGTAAAACCATCTGCCATTCATTTTAATATGCATAGTTTGCAAAGGGGTCTAGGGGTCTACATTTCAAATAGTAGGTCCAGAGCTACTGTTGACACACCCAGTCATATCGTGGAGGTAGTGGACATGAATGAAAGGTGAAAAGAACTGATTTTAGGCATTCAAAGGGTTAAAAGTAAGGCTAAATTTATTAGTGATATTAATTACACCCTACGCATTACTAGTAGCTCAATCCATAACACATATATTGTACTGGTCAGTGGCGGATCCAGCAAAATGTATTGGGGGGGTCCAAGCTACGCTAAAGATATACGGACCGTAAATCGCAGAGAAGCTATGCGTAATCCAGATGATACGAATCGTCATGGCCCCCCTGCCCCCCCCTCTGGATACGCCACTGGTATTAAAGATTTGAAACATTGTGTTGAGACTTGAATATATGCGGTTGATACAAGAACACCACCAAGTATCCACAAAGGCAGTACATTGATTAGATCGACCGTTGTGTAGTGTCACTACTGCCCTAGCAGAGGCGGCGGCACAAAATTCTGCATGAGGGGGCAAGATCTGCTCACTGCACCAACCGCGCACGACCTTACTAGGGGGCCCGGGCATGCTCCCCTGTTTTCATCACATGCTACCGGTAATAGCAGTTCTGCATCTGAAGTAAACAAAAGATAGTGTTCAAATATGACATAAACGTGAAGCACAATTTCCAAATAAGGAAGAAATTTGAATGCGTCTGTAGCACTTTTAAACATGAAAGCACAGCATATATGAGGATAGATTAATACCTATTGTTTTCGACGTCAGATGTATAATAATAATACTTTAATTTTCGCTGAAACGACATTCTGGCCATTTAGTATGACATTAATTTTCAGTGAATTTTGATAAGTTGAATGTAAAAGATAGGAAAAAATGTATTTTCAATCATTCATCCCTTCAGCGAAAATAAATTCTGAGTGAAAATAAAGTACTTTACCGTAGTGCATTTCATTCATATACTTGATTGCATTACTCGACAATGAAACAGTAACAAGAGATTATTAACAAAACTATATTTTATTGCTACATAAATTACAAATTAACTAAATATATGCAGCAAAAGACAGTGCAGTCTTTTTTCCCCCAGGACACTAGATGACAGTAAAATGAGCCAAATCACTGCGGAGGAAGACTTCAGGCTAGAAAAAGCCAAATGAACACATTTTTGGTAAAGAATTTGTTTGTATGGTCACAGTGTTATCATAGAGCATAGGGAATAGACACTTCTTTATTGTCTTTGCGTAGAGACAATATTTGTATCATGATTATTGTCAGCTTCATTATCCGTAGCACCTTATATTAGAAAAAAATATTTCAAAACAGACTTTTACAAATACAACAAACATGCATGGTTCAGTTATAAGATATATGAATCTTCTTGTAGTTGAGTTTACAAAAAACAATTACAAGAAATTTTAAATGCATTCTTATCACTAAAAATTGTCATTCAGTTTGTTTACCTTGCAGATAATTTGTATTTTTCAATTAAAGATTTTGGTTTTAATTTTAGATTACCTGACTTCAATACATTGCATTGTGTTATAACTGTGCACTTTATTATCAGTGATGTTTGCTTTCTATACTTGCAAATTTTGCATCTTTTCTCTGAAATGTCTGAATTCCATTTCAATTTGTCCTAAAAAGGATAGAAATTTTGGTTCATATTTTCATGCAAGAAAGCACTATGTTGTGAAAGATGACAAAGTTGACATGACAATGGAAGATATGCAAATTACCTAATTGATATGCACAGAGACAACATATCACTACTTTGTGGAAGGTGAAAAAAATTGACAATGGTAGTGAAAGTGTTGATGATATGCAAACTACCTATTTAATATGCAGACAGAACATATCACTCCTTTGTGGAAGGTGAAAACAATAGACAATGGCAGTGAAAGTGTTGATGATATGCAAACTACCTATTTAATATGCAGACAGAACATATCACTCCTTTGTGGAAGGAGGAAACAATTGACAATGGCAGTGAAAAGTTTGATGATATGCAAATTACCAATTTAATATGCAGACAGAACATATCACTGCTTTGTGGAAGGTGAAAACAATTGACAATTGCAGTGAAAGGGTTGATGATATGCAAACTACCTATTTAATATGCAGACAGAACATATCACTCATTTGTGGAAGGTGAAAACAATTGACAATGGCAGTGAAAAGGTTGATGATATGCAAATTACCTATTTAATATGCAGACAGAATGTATCACTACTTTGTGGAAAATGAAAACAATAGACAATGGCAGTGAAAGGGTTGATGATATGCAAATTACCTATTTGATATGCAGACAGAACATACCACTGCTTTGTGGAAGGTGAAAACAATTGACAATGGCAGTGAAAGGGTTGATGATATGCAAATTACCTATTTAATATGCAGACAGAACATACCACTGCTTTGTGGAAAGTGAAAACAATTGACAATGGCAGTGAAAGGGTTGATGATATGCAAATTACCTATTTGATATGCATGGACAGAACATATTACTACATTGTAGAAGGTAAAAAAATTGACAATGGCAGAGAAAGGGTTAAATTTCCACAGTAGTTTCGAGAAAAAAATAGTAGTTCACATCCTAACATAGTAAAAAAACTAGTCTTTTTCAGGGCAGAAATATTTATTGGGAATTCTGTATGCAGCAACGTACACATGACCCACAGAAACCCGAGAAACCATAAACAAGATGTTGCCAACAATCTCCATGGAAACAGCCATGAGGGCACCTCTACTAGTGACTTCATTAGATGAGCTACTCAATTTCTTTTGACCAATCATATATCCAGATGTCCACTCAACAGCAGTGACATCATCATTATTGGTGATGATGTCATCAATTTCAGTGGTTCTCCAAAATAGGATCTGACCATCCCAACCAGCTGACACCAGATAATTTCCGCTCGGAAGAAACTGAACAGCTGACACAAATGATGCGTGGCCTGTATACAAAATATGGAATATTTTAAAACGCATTTTTAAAAATTACACATGGTATGAAATTTAAATATATTATGTGCACACAGGTCATAAGCAAAGAGATGAATTTAAGACACAAAATAAAATATAATTGTTTTAGGCGTTTACATGAATCAGGAAAATCTACCGGTAATACTACATCAAACTTTTTTATTGGCGCCTTCTAAGGTGAAAATGTTTAAACATTTTAAAGTTAATGATGTAATGCAAAGTAGATTTATAAACTGGATTTAATTTGAGCGGATTTGATATTAATCACTAAAGTAGGTACCGGTAATCACTGGTTTGTGGAATAAACAATACAATAGTTCAATTTGCATAATCGCTATGTTTTATCACCAGACTTCCTTGCCTAAATTTTCTGTACTTTTTTCTTATATTCTTCAATATTTCTGGAAATGAACTCTAATTTTGGAGCCAACAGTAAAATTTTTGGTTTTTACTCAAAACATTAGGCTATTTTTGTCCCAATCTTCTGAAGGAAAGTGCAGACTATAAACAGGGGTATTTTGTGAATATGTGATGGAAGAGGGAACTGGTGGTGAAAAAGTTTATTTATTATTTATTATTAGTTGTCAGCCAAATAGAAGAAAATTAAAGTCAGCAAATAATTAAGCCTTTATAGTGACTACTGCAATTTCCCACTGATATCAGTCAATCAAAATATGTCATGACATCATACTAAATCAAAATCTGCCATGACATCATATCAGTAAATTAGAATCAGCCATGACATCATATCAGTAAATTAGAATCAGCCATGACATCATATCATGAAATTAGAATCAGCAATGGCATCATATAAGTAAATTAGAATCAGCCATGACATCATATCATGAAATTAGAATCAGCCATGACATCATATCATGAAATTAGAATCAGCCATGGCATCATATCAGTAAATTAGAATCAGCCATGACATCATATCAGTAAATTAGAATCAGCCATGACATCATATCATGAAATTAGAATCAGCCATGGCATCATATCAGTAAATTAGAATCAGCCATGACATCATATCATGAAATTAGAATCAGCCATGGCATCATATCAGTAAATTAGAATCAGCCATGACATCATATCATGAAATTAGAATCAGCCATGGCATCATATCAGTAAATTAGAATCAGCCATGGCCTCAGAAGATAAAAATCTGCCATTGACATTAGTAAATCAAATCAGACCAGAAACGTTTTGTTTTTTTACTTACCTTTTAATATGCAGCATTTATGAAATATGTCTGGAGAAAGTTGTTTCTTTGGTGTAACTACAAAAAACAAAACATATGCATATTTATTGTCAAAAGAATTAAGTAGATGCTTGAACAATGGTAGATTACAGCATATAGAGGGCAGTAGATATACATTTCAACGTCATTGCCGGCTACCATCTTAATAACAAATACTGCAACATATTGCACTTACGATAATGGACAGTATTCTTTCGTTCTACCACTTTCTCTGACGATGACCTCATGTAGAATATGGTAACGTTGTCATCTTCACCACCGACAGCCAACAAACTAAAAAATCGATAGTTAGATGTTTGAATTCAATGATATTTGGGATGTTTGGTAGCGGGAGAAGACCAATCTGTAGGACAGGAACCCAGAACATGATAATTGGGTTGACAAATTTAAAGGGCAGTAGTCGTCGCGCCCTGCATGCACGAGATATATGGGTCTCATATAAACAAAGATGGCGACTTTGACTATTGCGCAGATCATCTAGTACAAACTGAGACGTTACAAAGCTTAAATTTAGCTAGTTAATTTAATTAATATTTTTTAGGCAACTGGAAGGTATTGAAAGAGACACCGGCGGTAATTATTGCATGTCGCGCTCAGGTCAAACCTCATACTTCCATTAGAAGAGCGCATTGGATTGTGGGAAAATCAATGTTTATCAACAAAAAATGTCGAACATGCACAGCGCGACAATTGCCGCCCTTTAAAAAAAGAAATGTTTTTGTTTATAGTTGTTGGATTGAGTCTTATTTAATTTTATTTAACTAAGCTGTTTGGATGGACAGAAAAATAAGTTGAGTTTTAAAAAAGATTTTGGTTTACACTTAGTTATACATGTAGGTAAAGTAAAAGTAATTGTATTGCAATACCAACAGATGATTACATGTGACCTCTTGGAAACAAATTCAAAGAAGTACTGGGAATGTAAAAGAAAATAATCAGAGGATCACGGAAGAATTGTCTACTTTTCACAAAAGTTACCTTTTAAGAGGATGCCATGTTATGCATCGAACTGAACCATATCCAATTCTGCCTTGGTTGATACAGGATAGATACAATTCTCTATGATACTTCAATTTATAGAAGATGACATCGCCAGAATTTGCATATCCAACGGCGCAATATCTACAGAATAATTACAATGTCCAATGAGAATAAAGCTATTAGTATATCATCTTCATGATTGGGTAGACAATGAGTTTATTCACCAAAATGAAAGTGTTTTCAAACTGAAGATGACAAAAGCTGAAAATTGTGGTGACCTGACCAAATGACCAATGACTACAGGTATCAAGAAATGTCCATATACATGTACTGTAAAATGTATCTTGTACAAATTTGGTGTAACAAATGATATATTTTACACACATTGTATATGTTGTAAGGGACTCACATGAGGCAACCACCCTTTAAAGTTGTTAAATGAATTTGTGATTGTGATAAAGTATTTCCTGTATTACAATTGCATCTCAAATAAAAACACACACAAACCAAAATAAATGCATTTATTGTGTTCTTAGTCAATGAAGTATTCTTCAACATTTTTATGAATGATGGTCCGTCATGGATTGGATAGTGATCACGTGAGAGTGCATATGTCACTGATGATGTTTTGACTTTGTGACAAGTTTTGAGGAACTCGGTCCGGGTACGTTTGAGAAATCAATCCATGATGAATTGAATAAATGAATGGATGGAAGAGTTCAAACTGGATCTAAATAGTAAGTATGTTTGTCAGATTTTCTCTGAGCAAGCACAACTAAAATATCAGAGCTTACTGTAAGTTTGGAGAGACAGCAATTGTTGAAATCTGCTGTTGTATATCCCCTATATCTTGAATTAGTTGTAATTTGGTAACCTCGGCAACCATCAATTGCCACAAACATAGATGACCATTCTTGTAACCAGACAGAAGATAGCATGTATCATTCTTCTCAAACCAGCAGAGCCTGGAAATCAGTAATGTATAATATCAAGGTCGTAGAACATTGACGAACTGTCATTTTTCAGAACAGTAAATCGGTGTATGAGTATTTGACAAGCTGCTTAGCGGTAAAAGTCATTTAATACACATGTTTACTGATGACATCATTTTCCCACAATGCAGTGCATTGTTATCAAACTTAAAATGGCTGACAAGCATCCTTTTCATAGGTCACAAACAACTTTACAGTTAAATGCTGGAACAAAAAATCTAGACATGTGAAAACTGTGGCACTTCAATACTCTGTTTGACCAAAATACAGATTAGGGTTGGAAGTAGTTTTGCAGTCAATAGTTGTGTTCACATTACACAAAGTACGGGCTAAGATTTAAGCTGATTTCGGCTTATCTAGCATATTTGCATTTCGGCTAGACCCAATTGCGTCCACGCACAGGGAGAGCCAGTCGTTAGCACGGGCTAAGGTGCAAGTCGCTATTTACGAACGAAAAATGGATGATACGCGCGAGGTTCTATTTCTGCTGCTGACATGTTTTGTTCTAATTTTGAAGCGACGTGCACAGGAACGCGAGAGAAGACGGACCCAACTTATTTGGATGCACAGAAACAGTATACAACGGCGTAACAGAAAACAGAGTTTTATTAAATGCATGTCGTAGACAGCGAACCAACTTTATTTTGTCTACAATTGGTGCTACTGTACGCTCTACTACAGCGACCCAATCAGTGTGGAAGCGTGTACACTGAGCTCGGTTGCCATTTTGGGAATGAGAAAGTTGGATATATTTGATCACGTGCATATTGTTCACACCCAAAGGTCGCCGCAGAGGGCGCTTAGCCCTGGGCTAAGCGTTCGCACACACTTCGTTAGCCCGTGCTAAGGGTCTAGACTGCGTCTTAAATTCGGATCAGATTTAACCCGTACTTAGAATTCCTTAGCCCGTGCTAAGCGTTCACGCACGTTTGCTTAGCACGGGCTAAGGAATTTGACCTCTTAGCCCGTGCTAAGGAGCTGTGCGTGAACGCAACTAATGTGAAGCTACAATGTATTTACAAGACTCTGCTTGATTGGCTACCCAACCCTAACACCTAACAATCAGACCAATCAGAGAGCAGCTTGTATGTTGACAGGTTTTTTGAATGTATCAAATTCAACCTTGTATTTATGCATCAACTCTACTGTAGTTTTGCGGGTACTTCAGGTTTAGCAAGATGGAGTATCAAAGAACAAGGTACTGTAATTAATTCTCAGATAAATCAGAATTAGAATAAAAATTATTGGAGAAAATCAAGATATAACATACTTACTTGGTTAAAGAGGAGGAAGATGGATTACCGTCAACTACAATAGCCTCACATTTATCATTATATAACTTATATAATGATAATATACCCTTATTGGAGCCTAAGGCAACAGTCAATCTGTCTCCTGTGGAGTGAACAGCGGAAGAACGTTAATGTACAAACATTAACATAATGGCAGCATTTTCGGCTTGTTATCAATTGTTAGAGCGAGTGCAAATAGTTAAAGAACTCTCTTTATCAAATCAGTAGTGATTACTGGAGCCACATTCTAAGTGAAATCAATGACAATATGTAAAGATTAGGCCAGACTTTTATTATCCCTTGTTTCACGAACCCGCCGAATGAACAGGAGCCGAAAATGAAATAAAAATAAAATTTTATTTCAGCGTAATTTCTCGCGCCCGCTGACTTCTAAACGCAAAAAATTGCTAAAAAGAAATTATTTTTATCTTCATTTTTTTTATGCCCGCCGCATAACAAATCTAAGTTCATTTTCGTGGGAGTATCATGATCAAAGTACCGAGGTCTCGCGCAGATGAGAAACAAGGTTATACATGGAATATAATTTTATTTCATTTCTTCTCTCTGATCACACTTACAATTCTTTGAGAATCACACAAATCTAATGGATTAATTTTTTTTTTTCGCCCTCCTCAAAAAATTGCCTTATAAAAACCCGAGAAGCAAGGAATAAAAAAGTCTGGCCTTAGTCGTATATACTGACGATGCATGAAGGCAACATGTATTTCATTTTATCAATCGTCTTTCTCTTGTGAATAAACATTGTCATTTCTGAAGCAAACAAATCAATATCCACCCACTGACAATCATTGACTGTCGTTGCTTATATGTCGGCTGAATTGTGACTTTTTTACTTACACCTACAGATTAATCATATACCGTACTTCCCCGATCAAAAGCTCAGGGGCCTGAACATGTCAAATTGGGAAAATTAGGGAGTGGGCTTATACTCGAGGACCGTCTCAGAAAAAAAAATTTGTTGGGGGGTTTAAAATTGAAACCATCTTGCCACCCACAAAAAATTATTCAAATTACATTTTTCGTTAACAGCACCGGTCTTGGAGAAATATTACGTTGTTTTAAGGAAAAAAATGTGAAACGAGTCGTCATGATCTCCACGACACATGTTCATAAAAATACACACATTTTATTACAATACTGTTTACATACCATCTGAATTTACAGTGCAAAAATGAGTAGGGTCTGTGGGAAAACAGTCGAAGGCAAGATCATTATCATTATCATTATCATCGTTGTGGAATGTTTTCGATCGTATGCAAATTCTAGATACAAAGCAATTTCCGCCATGGTGTTTTTCATCATGATTTGACCTGAACAACTTCCTTTGACCTAACAGATCTTTCGTTAACCAATGAAATTGCTGTGTCATACAGACAAAGTTTTCCGATCAGAAGTGAATTACCGCGTTGTTAAAATGCGATTAACACTGATTTCTACAAAAAAAAACGGTGATTTTTTCCTCTAAAAGCTGTTGATTCACAATTTTCGAAAGGTAAACTGAGGGTTGAGGAAGTATTTAAACCTTTCACGGTCTTCAACAAGTTAAGTTGAAGAATAGTTTGCTCGTTCAATGGACGAAAACTACTACTCAAAAGAAATATGGATTACTTCAGTATTGCAATATCAGGGTTCATCCTGAGTAAATAACAGAATAGAATGTTCCTACGTTCGCTCCCAGGAACCAAACTACCATACTAATCACAATTATTAGGCAATGAAATACACTTTTACATGCATATTTTAATAAATGTCATTGACACTCGGAAAAACACCTTGGGACTATACACGAGGATGCCCTCAACTCATTAAATGTCTAAAAATAGAGGGGTGGGCTTATACTCGGGGAGGGGCTTATGCTCAGGGAAGTACAGTATATACGCTGAATATTATTCAAGTTATCACGTCCACAAAAAAAGTTTACAACACTGACAACAATGATGCTATCACTACCGACAAACATTTTGCCAGTACTACGATTTTCCTTCACTTACGGGAAACCCAACAGTGAAAATACGGTAACTGGATTTGATACTTGAAGTGAGGTGAATACCTAAAAAAGATTGTTTCAAGAAATGAGCAATTTTCTGAGCAATAACCCATCTCTGTATACTACTTGTACTTATCATTTCAGTAGATATACTATGTATGTATACCACTTGTACTTATCATTGTCATTAGATATACTATGTATGTATACTACTTGTACTTATCATTTCATTAGATACTGTAATAGGTAACACTGATATGTAATTATTACTTGATTCCAATAAATATTAAAAAAAAAAAATGGATTTGATACTTTACCTATTTTAACCGGACACCACATCAAACTGGTCACAGGGTCACATGTTTTGATATAAATCTGATGACTACCACTATTTAGATTTTCTAATATACTATAGATAGACTTCTCCTCTAAATTGTAACGATTCACAAGTTGAGAATCGCCGATCAATACATCACTGTAACGATAAATCACAATTTCGTTTCATTCTCAACGTCTTCAACATTACCCTAATATTTTTTGAGCCTAGCCACCATCAGAATTCTTTCCAGGATTTCTGGATTTGTAAAATTTCAATGTTACTAATAAAAAAATAAAAGAGAATTATGTATACTGTAGAATACTTTATTTTCGCTTGGAATATATTTTCGTTATTTTCGCTGAAGGGATGATTCCGTGAAAATAAAATCCAGCGAATATACTTTTTTCCTATATTTCACATTAAACTCATAAAAAATCAGTGAAAATAAATTCCATACAAAACTCCTAAAAAGCCCTTTAAAAATTAATTCCAGCGAAAATAAAGTATTCCACAGTAGTATATAATTTAATTTGTTTAAATTTCTAAATTACAATTGTAAAATTTATCAACATATTGAAAAAAAAAAAGTATCACAAAATTTTTATTTTTATTTCGGAAAATAACAGCATTGCACACAGAATGAAAAACAATGATCACTTGTGCAAGAACATTTTGCTTTCATCTACAAAAATGTACGTCCCATTTCTCTAAACATCAGTATTACCTTGGGAATGATTCATCACCATCACTTTTCCTCTTCCGTTTCTGTTTATTCTTCGGTTCAACCTTTACCTCTGCACAGCCAATGCCTTCACTGCTTTTTCTCTTTCTTGTCCCGTGTATGGTAGGCTGTTTCTCACTCTGACCATTGGTGGCAGTATTTAGCAAAAGTCCAGAGATTTGTTTTGGTAGAATGCAGCATTTGATATGGTATGTATTTGAAGTGCTTGAGTCTTTAGTTCTGGCAAATGCCACCTAAAACGTTCATTAAAAATTAAAATAATATTATTTCACGCTATTTCATAAAAATAAACATTCAATATCATTCAAAACACGAGGTAATAATTAATTATTTGTTACCATATGATACAATGTTACATTTTACATTCATTTGCATGGGGTATATGCATCGACCTTATTAGGTAATGCAAATTCCAAATATGGAACGATTATGCAATCTTTTCAAGATGGCAGATGTACATGTATATCTAATTTGTTTCAGTATTGATTTTTTTTTCTAATTTTTTTTGTGTGCCAAGCGACAAGTTTTGAACATTGAATGTCGCTGTCGTCTCTCCTGACTTTTGTTATTAAGCCTTATTTAGCAAGTTAGAAGCTCCTGTTTATATGGCTTTTGGTTCAAACTTTATTGAAACATTGTATGAATTGTATTCACAAAAGGTTAAAATGAGAATCAGGCTCAGAATTGAACACAAGGAACATATTCCAGTGTTGTAAGATACAAGGATTCCAACTGTGCCAAGATCTTGCACATTTGACAGGCTATTGTGAATCTGGGAGTTGATTTGAACATAAAACGGTTTGACCAGCCGTCTGGAGACTTGCTCAAGTTTGCTATTCCCAAAATTTGTGTGACCATATCAGAGGACCAAGATGGCCATGCTCGTATTAACGTGTTTGTGTTCTATGCAAACTAGTTAGCAGTGAGTACCGAACATATGTACAATAGTACATTGTGTATACTGTAAAATACTTTATTTTCGCTTAGAATTAATTTTCGCTGAAGGAAAGATTCAGTGAAAATAAAATCCAGCGAATATACCTTTTTTCCTATATTTTACATTCAACTCATCAGAAATCAGTGAAAATAAATTCTATACAAAATGACCAAAAGTCTTTTCAGTGAAAATTAATTCCAGCTAAAATAAAATATTTGACAGTAACTGATTGGAGAGTAATGTTCACTAACTAACAAAGAATACTACTGGTAGTACTTAATTAACAAATCAGTTAGTTCAAATATGCAAATTTACCTGACTATTGACTTCAGGAATCGGCAATAACAACGCAGCAATCTCACTACTAGTATAGTGACTTGACGTTTGAAATCCAACCACTTTAACCAAAGACAATACAGCAGACTTTTCCTTAGCTCTCTGAAAACAAAAGTAAATTTATATTGTTTATAATATTATTAGTTATGCCATTGAACACAATACAGTAGCTGGTTCATCAGCCTAAAAACCATCTGGGGAAACCAGAAAATGCATTTTTACGCACACCACCTCAGAGATTTGGAAGCCCCCTTAAAAATAATGTTTAAGGGGGGGGGTGTCGCCTCGGACGTCCTAGTAAGGTTGCGCTTTCGGCACACGGTTGGTGAGCAGATCTCGCCCCTCCCCTCCCATGCAAAATTCCATACTGCTGCCTCTGCTGAGAATTTCAGAAGTTACTGAATCACATAATCAAATGATGAATGCTCATTGGTTGAACCACAGAGAGCAGCTGTGAGGTCACATGACTAATCAATACAATTTGATTGGATAAAATCCCTCACCTTTATAGTTTCCTGAGTTGTTGACTCTCTATGGTTTTCTAAACTATGCAGACAACTTGGACATGGTAGTGCAGCCAGCAATGGCTTTACTAACTCCTGACTAGAAACAAATGCAAGACATGTCTGTTTATTGGAAACACAAACACACTTCTACTCATTACGGAACAAGAATAATGTGCATTTTATTTATTGCTCTATGTAATATTGAACTGACTTAGAAGCCACACAGAGAGCAGACCTGGCCTGAATGTGGTGTATCTTTTTAAATATTGACAATAAATAAATGCGTTTAGGGGAGGACCATTTGAAGTATGGGGCATGGGGGGGGGGGTGATTTTAAAGAAGTGATATTTTTTTTATTTTTTTTTTAAAGTTTTTTTCATATTTAATTACAACTGAATATATACAATATATATACAAGTCGATTGTGGTTAGATTTGTTTTTTACTTGAACTTCCAATCCCCTCCCAATTAATCTAATTGGTCCTCCCCTTGGGATATCTACATTTCTAAATGTGCTGAACAATATAATTCTGAAAGTCATAGCAGTGTTTTATTACTCACGAGAATCCATTGAATTTCAAGCATATTTTCATGAGGTCATCGAGACTGTAACCTTTGCATCGACATATTCTGTGAGTACTCTGGAGAAAAAACACAAAATACAGTGGAAATAGAACCAGTGTAAATTATCTGATGCATGCTTATTACTGAAGTATTGGATACCTCACGTACCCAAAGATCAATCACACCAGGTTGATGAAATTCCAAAACAATCATACATGTACACAACTTAGATGACAATTTCATTTTGATGACTTGAGTGTAGCTGTGTTACAGTGCCCCCCCCCAGCTGAGGGACCAGAAAATAATGGACCGGATACGGCTTTTGCGACCGAGGTCGTGCGGCCAGAAACGCCTGAGCTTGCGAAAGCACGCGAGCCGTATGACCGAGGTCAGCAAAAGCCGTATTTTTGGATGTTTTTTTAAAACTTTGGGGTTTTATGATTACCAAAACTTTGAAAAACAAGCAACAAATAAATAAATAACAAGTCATCGTCAATGACATACTGTGGAATACTTTATTTTCGCTGGAATTAATTTTCCCTGAAAGGGCTTTTTGGGTGTTTTGTATGGAATTTATTTTCAATGATTTTTGATGAGTTTAATGTGAAATATAGAAAAAAAAGTATATTCGCTGGATTTTATTTTCACGAAATCATCCTTTCAGCGAATATAGCGAAAATAAATTCCAAGCGAAAATAAAGTATTCTACAGTTGTCCCCATTTGCATTATAGCCATGAGATATCACAATAATACCAAGCGATATCCATGATATTGACTTACATGTATAAAATATGGCTCAAGGGAACTGTAATAGTTTAAACAAGATGGCCGCCAGTCAGACATTTAGAATTTTGATGGTGATAAACATGCATGTGTGTTTGTCTGATATAATGTCTGATGTATACATGCAGTTTGTACTTGATTGATCCAGGAATGTTGAAGATGCATTTTGAACACAAATAAAAAATATGTTTAACATATGTATGAAGAGTAATCTGCATTTGCACGACTGACATTTTTGGCCTTGAAATGACTGCCATTCCGCCATCTTGGATTGGATCATGAAACAAATGCCCTATATGATGTATGTGTGAAGTTTAAACTTGATTGATCCAGCCAAGTCAAATATATGGATTTAGTACCAGTGTTATTTTAAATACACAAATAATCATTTATTCATTATTTAATAAGTTGGTTGCCAAATAAAATTGATAGTGTGTTTCTGGTAACATTGAAAATAAAAGTAGAAACAGCTTTTTATTTTATGAAAATTAATTTATTATTCTGCAATGCTACTAACCCACACTGTTATATGAAAGTATTTTTCAATAATACACCACATCTTGCATGTACAGGTTGATATTTGGGTCAAAAATAAAAAATTTCAAGAAGACCTGAAACAAGTGTCTATTTTCCATAACAAAATACAGGATCGGCCAGAAAAATCTATACATGGTCAGGTTACCGAAAACACATTATTTTTATTTTATTTGGCTTTAGAAATTATTACAATGATATTTAAGATGTCTTTGATTGGTTGACAGTTTACAACAGAGGTACTTGTACAGTTATGTTAAGTATCGCAGTCTACCACATGGACCAGCTCAGCTAAGAGTTTCAAACGAACACCACTGAGGGCAGCATATACAAACTGCAAGGTGAGGCATAACTCTAGCCCAGAAATCAAGATTTTGGAACTGTCAACTTTTAGAAAATGTATATTTACCTGCTCCACAAGTTCATCGGGATCTACGCAGACTGCTTCAAACCACTCAGTCATGTCAGTTTCCTCATCATCCGAGATGACGTTGTGTTGTTTCACTTCACAGTGGCATCTCAGTTGACTGACTGATGAAAACTCTAACATGATGTAGTGGTCTGTTTCTGATAACGGTCGATGTGCATCAATGTGGTGTTTGCATCCGGTACATTGTCTGGCTTGGGGTGTGGCCACTGGCACGCTGAACAATACAGAAATCATGGTACATAATACTACGGTACATTATTCAGTTTTAATTAAACACACTCAAGTGATAAATTAACTACAAAATGAAAACAGAACGAAACATAGTTGAACTTTGGTGACCTTGCCCTTTGTTATATAATACTATTCCCTTCATCATAGTTTGTTTCAATATGAATTGGGGTTGAAACAACAGTGAGGAATCAGTCTACCAAATGTCCTTGATAGATGTAAATATCTTACAAAAACTTTAGTGCCTAATATGTTTAATTATTTTAAGGGACATAATTTCCAACTTTATTCAAAGTAATTCAGATTTGTTATTATAAAAACAAATGCTGCATCTCAGAAAAAAAGTGCTGCATTTAGACGTGAATAGATTCATAAATCATGCAAGATACCAGGAAATCTTAGCTGGCTTTTGCCCAAGTATTTTGTACAGGTGTCTGTCAAAAATTAATGATTCACCGAGACAAATATTAACTGCCTTATTATATTCATTGTGTGAAAAGTAAAAAAAACACCCTCTATCATGTTGCAAGCTCTGCTTTGTAATGCAAATCAACTTAAATAGTTAGTTGGTGTCCAGTGAGAGAGTCAACAGTACTTTTGTCTCTACATCTTCAAACTTTGCAATCTTTGATTTTTAAAGTGCATATTTAAATAATTATTATTACTATATCAATCTGTTCCAATAGCTGAAAGAAATTCCTGTGAATTTTCATTTGTCGAATGAACTGTTTGTCAAATATATCTTAGTACAATTTTCTTTTCAAAATGTGGATGCAACGTTTTGCTTTTTATGTATTTTTTATGTATTGTTTTTGATTTTATAACTTTGGACTAAACAGATTTTCTATTAGATTCAGATCTTGATCAAAGTTTGGCACCCAATTCATAGGAGTGTTTATCTTGTTTTCTGTAAAGATTTTAGAATTGCAAATGTGTATCAGACTGTGTAAACACTATGAATGAGTTGGTTTTGAAACCCAGTCTAGTATTCCCATGGGATTTGAGAAATACATTACCAAGGATATTATTACAAGATAAATGATTTGCTTCATTGAACACAGACAACAATGCATATTTCCACCTTTGAATGTGCATCACCAGTGATCAGTCAAGTAGAAACAGTCAAAATATTTATATCAGATATTCTCAGATTTTCTAAATTTTTGCATGATATATTTACACAGAACATCTGTTGTTCATACTCAGGGAAGACTTTATACTGGTGAATAAAGTGACCAAGTTTGATGAAGTTTGGAATAGAATTAGTAAAGTTATTGTGCACACAATAACAATTATTAACAACGACGACAACGCCGGACAGAAATTTTTCCCTTAATATACCTTTCCTTTCCATCATTGATGTTACGTCAAGGTAAAAATGTACATGTGTATTAATATGACATATCACGCTATCAATGCTGGGTTTCAGATTGTAACTTGTTGTCTAGTTTATGTTTCCCTAGTTCTACTACTGTACGGTGAATGTAGTCAATATCTAGAGTAGATATTAGCATGGTTGTGAGCATTGTAATATTTATTTTCCGTTGACCCCTTTGTGGCCAACTATTTCTATGGTAGCACCAGCTACAGGAGATGGTTGTTTTAGCCACAGAGGGCACAACTCTACCCTACTCCACTGTTTGCTGTTTGCAAATGAATTGTCTCAGAACCATTTTGTTTGGTGTGGTGTAAATGATATCAAATGATCTAAATAGATAACTATTTCATGTTTATATTTGTAACTGCTGTACGCATCAAAAAAGGATAAACTCTATAGAATCACTAAAAGGAAGATGGTTCATTTGCATAAATTACTACCCAGATAACCTGGGCGTGGCAAGTTAGCAGTTGGGCTGGGTGTGGCAGAGGACTCCTGAACTTTCATTGAGAAGGTACTCGGCTTGGCTTATTCCAGTGTGCAATTTCACCTAAAAAAGGCTGTAATGGCACTTCCTGTAAATTATGAAGACTGTCACTGTATTTCGGGAATGAATTTAGGGTTTGCTATCTGACGGGGTTTTTCTTTGTGTTTTGTTCACTCGCTTACTTTAGTTGTAAGATGAATGAATTGTAAGAATTTCTCGGATAGAAATAAAGCCTGGAATGTGTAAACCTGGCGATTCTCTACCATACATTGTGTTGTATCAACTTATTTTCAACTTGGTCACATGGTCAATACAGGAAACCATGCACATTGGCCGCCCAGTGTGTATGGTAGTGTATTGCGTTCCTACTTACATTTATGTATTTGTAAGTTCATGTTTTTTAAGTTCACGACTGATTATTTAGATATGTTCGGTCGGGTAATTATTTAAGTTGTTTATATTTTACTGATTAGGTTGTGTTGTTAATTTGAGTATATGTACTGGCAGTTTATGCAAACTCGTGTCAACTAGTAACTAGCCAGACTGTATGGTGTTTAATGTGGGAGGGTGTCACCTGTGCACGTGCGGGAATTAAGTCCCAAGTGACGATAACAACACACGCTAAAAAGGCTCATGGGCAGACGGTTGTTTGTAAACAATGACATGCTATGGCCATCTGACGCATGCGCAGGTGACGACTCCCTCGCTCTAAATAAACTAATGCGTACTGAATGCACAACTCGGAACTGTAAGCGTTACTTAGTTACTAGATTTCTACTACTACTGTAACAGTGTCTTTATTGTGTGCGAGTGCTTGAACATGGATTGCGTGCACAGATCCAAATGAACCCCCAACATTGATATCTATGCACAACACAAATATGTTTACCTTTCATCTGGTCTTTGGTAACCTTGGCAACTGCATCCAATACAAGGATACGTTTCAGCCTTCTCCATTTGCTCTTTCTTCTGTTTATCACATTTAGTTGGCAGTCGGTGGTCTGTTTGTTTGTGTCGACACCCCTGGCAGGTAGGTAGGGAGAATGTCGGTTTGAACCCTCCTTGGGGTGCGGTGAAATCATCACAATCACATCGGGGGTACTGACATGGTGTGCCACTTTTGGCGCCCTTTTTTCTAATCTACAAAATTATGAAAAACAATGCAATTTTTGTAGTGTTTTGAAGTGTGGTGATAACAATTTTTTTATTCTTTATTCTGCCACAGGATTCACTCACTTGGATCATACGTCATTGCAATTTTAATCCACTATCAAAATTTACTTTGTTGAGTGGCTTGGAATTGTGTGCCACAATTTGATATAACACTTAGGTTAATTATATTCCCACCACCATTATCGGTAGTAAAGTTTTTGCAACAGTTTCCAAACAATGAAAATGTCTTGACAAGCTTCTAATCTCATCATTCAGCCAAGGTTTTGATATCCAGATTTCTTACCTTTTTCACTTGAGCTTCTGTGAGTGAATCTGCAAAAATTAATTTTAGATTAAAAAGTGAAATTTCTTACAAGAATAATTTTAACTTTAATGTTCTTGTCTGTATACTAACACCATGCAAGCAGCTATGAAGTAGAAGCATTCTCAAAAATAAAAACACTAAACTTCAAAAATTAAGCCATTAACAATAATTCCCACAATATTTCTATTGTTTTAATAATTAATCTTATAAAATATTTTTTTGCCCATTGATTGAACAAGCCCCTCAATCTTTCCACAATAATTGGCTAAGTTACATCTCCTCGAATCTTTGAATATGGCCAAGTTAAGAAGTGGTTCAACACCCCCAATAATCTTTGAACAAGACATGGCCCTTGTTAACGCCTTTTTGTTCAACAGGGAGTTATACCAATGACAGCGCCCTCACAGGCCATGTAACACTTAAAACATTCTCAACTTGCGACTATTTTACAATTTGATGGAGTTAATAGTTTCATAATACATGCCTAATTTATCAGGACTCTCCAAATTTGTCAGTAGTATTGGCTTTAGCTAAAATTCAGATATGAACGATTCATTGATATATATATATTGCATAGCCCCTAAAATGTGGGTGTATCAGCGACTGCTGCTCGTGTCATTGAAGGAGTGCAACAACTAAGAACCAAGTGAATGCTAATGAGGCTGTTTTGGCCACACCAACATCCTTGGCATCACAGCAGGTAAATGAGGCAGAGGAACACCCTAAAGAACCTGGAAAGTTTACATAAGGAATGGATAGGGAAGAGACTGAAAGAATGGCAAAAAATCAAGATCAAAGTCACAGCAGCTTAATCACCTGACCAGGAAGAGAGTTAGCCCAAAGCATTTTTTTAAAAATACATACTGTAAATGCATTAATTATTCACTGGGTTTTAATTTTGGTATTTTTAGCTAAATTAAATCTACATAAACATGTAAAATAACAATAAAACTCGTTGTTTCCTTGACAAAATTGTGAAATTAAAACACAGTGAATATGCTGAAAACATCAAAATAGTGAAATTAAATATCAGTGTATATAAATTGTTTGACAGTTGTTATTTTACACACTGCACATGCTCTGTCAGAAGCACTGTTCCCTTTAATTTTTTTGAATCATGAAAATTTGCCCATTTTCCCCTTGAAATGTTTTTTCTGCATACAAAATGCATGGAAAGTTTCTCAAAATTTCACTGAGAAACTACAATTGAATCTGAGAAAATTGAGCGAAATTAAGGCTTAGAGGGGACACTGGTCAGAAGTTCATCACGCTTACTTCCTGATGCATAATTGTGTAAATCACCAGATGTAAACAGCGCCACCAAGTTTCAAACTGAGACAGGTGGTTGTTCAATCAAGGGGCAGAAATGTACAGCACACTGTTCTTCTAACTTAATAAAAACATCCAAATCCTTAACAAGATTATTTCCGGCTTCAGCATTGTGGAAATCATACAAAATAGATTTGTTTTTTGACAGAGATGCACGAGAACATACTTAGTGAGGATTGACTCAGTTCATTACCTTTATTTTGCATACTACAGAACTTGAATACAAAACTAATGTATAATAATAACTTTTCTACAAACATTTTTTTTATATAATAAGTATATTACAATAAAAAAAGCAGCTTTATACTTTTAGGAATAAATTTTACAGTATATAGATTTATTTGGAAAATAAAAATATTGAAATAGCACTACCTGTTTTTGCTTTTGTAGGGAAGAAAAGAATTTTTTTTAAATGAAACGCATAAATGCTCATGGTGATACAATGCTACACACCACAAGCTAATTCAGTAACATTCATCATTTAACAGCATATAAATACAAATATAATACGAATTATAAAATAAAGTTTACAAGAGCCACGCATTCTATAAAACTTGTCCAACAATAACGTTCAAGCTCAAGTTACCTTTATTACAAATCTGCTGATTGGCTAAGCAGTAGTATAACTACAAATATACAATATAATAGCCCAATCACAGCCACTGTTTCATCACATAGTATCTCTGAATGTGATAACTTTCTGGATTTCAGCACAGGGTGCATACTTTTAATAAGGAAAAGAAAAACAACATGCACACTGTGCTACAAAAACAATATGGAGTATTATCTGAAAGGCAGTTACCATACCAACACAAAATTGGCAAGTATGGAGCTATTGTTTATAATAAATATTGGACTAGGATGAGATTTCCATCAATACAAGTTACGATAGTTGGTCACCAATAAAAAGTGGGTTGAATTACCGGGGTAACACCCAAATCAATAAATCTGAGCTAATCTATAGTAAGTGTCTGATCAAATCAAATAAGAAGTTGTTAATAATGCTGTATTATCAATGCACATGAGGATGCATATTCAACAGTGATTGGTTAGACTTGATCACATGAGGAGAATAATCAACTGTGATTGGTTAAGCTTGAACACACAAGAATCGTCAACAGTCACTGGTTAGACTTGCCCACATGATGAACATATTCAATAGAGATTGGTTTGGCTTAACCACATTTGAATTGTCAACAGTGATTGGTTAGAATTGGCCGCATAAAAATTCTTTTCAAAAGTGATTGGTTAGAATTGCCCAAATGAGAAGAATAATCAACAGTGATTGGTTAGACTTGCCCACATGAGAAGAATAATCAACAGTGATTGGTTAGAATTGCCCAAATGAGAAGAATAATCAACAGTGATTGGTTAGACTTGCCCACATGAGAAGAATAATCAACAGTGATTGGTTAGACTTGACCACATGAGAAGAATATTCAACAGTGATTGGTTAGACTTGACCACATGAGAAGAATATTCAACAGTGATTGGTTAGACTTGCCCACATGAGAAGAATATTCAACAGTGATTGGTTAGACTTGCCCAAATGAGAAGAATAATCAACAGTGATTGGTTAGACTTGCCCACATGAGAAGAATAATCAACAGTGATTGGTTAGACTTGACCACATGAGAAGAATATTCAACAGTGATTGGTTAGACTTGCCCACATGAGAAGAATATTCAACAGTGATTGTTAAGGCTTGCCCACATGAGGGTAATAGTTGATTTTTTTTATAATTCGTGAAAACATTTACATATTTTTTTTTTCTGGAGTTGTTAATATATTATTTGTTAAATGGAGACTGCATTGCATATTTTAAATAGCTGCATGTCGGAGATAAACTAAAGAGGTTAGTACTCAAACTAGACATGCATTAAATATTCTGATTGAAATGATAATATTGTCTTTAAAAGTCTTGTACTTTTTCACACACTGCTCTTAACTGATAACCTCTCAATAATTCATTTACTTTTTTTTGATTTTAAGTCTTGATTGTCATTTCATTTTGAGGGCATACCAGTGATTTTCCTCTGATGCACAAACCTGAATCTGATAAAAACATATTCTAACTCGCCTCATTCTAATAACAAAATGGTGGACATTCTAACTAGCCTCATTCTGATAACAAAATGGTGGACATTCCTACTAGCCTCATTCTGATAACAAAATGGTGGACATCCCTACTCGCCTCATTCTGCTAACAAAACGGTGGACATTCCTACTAGCCTCATTCTGATAACAAAATGGTGGACATTCCTACTAATCTCATTCTGGTAACAAAATTGTAGATCTACTAGCGTCATTCTGATATTAAAATGGTAGACATTCCTTCTAGCTTCATTCCAATAACAAAACGGTGGACAATCCATCCCGAACATGGAGTACCCACTAGCTTCCCTGAAGACTACTCAACTTCTAGCTATTTTCTTTAGATTAGAACTCAAATGACCTGTCCCAGAGGGCAGTCTTTAATGCTACTACATTCAGATTCAATCCTGTAATGCTAACATTCAAACCACTCATTTATATCAGATCCAGCTCAATAGATTATAAAAAGTAAACAGATGACCAAGCTTTTTCATGATTCACATGCTAGACAAAGAAATACTGAATTTCACCCCACAGCTAAGTCCTAAGTAAAAACCAGAAAAAGACATGCTAGTTTTAAATCTGCCTCATGTATGCAATCCTTAATACAAGCCTGGACAGCATGGGCTTTAATAAAACATGTGCATTGGAAACGAACGACATGTTGTTTAATGTTTGGTTCATCGTGATTAGATTGAAAAAATACTGTGGCATTTATTCTTAGGCCAGCAATTCAAAAACTAATTTAAAGTTCATTCAGAAATATGGAAGATGTTTATTTCACTGGCAAACTAAAAAAAAAATTGCAATAAATCTAGATATTAGCTATTAAAAGAATTATTATATTAAAATTTGTGACAACTGGCAAGATACTGGTATTACAATACATCTTCGTCTCTCTCACTCACTCTTTCACTCTCTAACCGATAGAACCATGTACATCTCTCTACTCAGATCGAACTCATTATAACGCTATCTGACTAAGGTCAACAGGGGTCAACTAGATGTTGCTTTCGTTCATCAGCGAGGAGAGTGACTGGAAATACAATGAGAGAGAAAAGTGAACTCCAATGGTACTTCATACTTAGGTCGCTATTACAAACAACAAACATCTATGGTAAGTATCACACAAATCTATTTTTATATTCTCATTTAATAACGTTTTTTACCTCCGCTAGCCTGACTCGTAAAATCTAAATTCTGTAAATTTCGTCTTAAAACAGACACAAAAAAACATATATTCAATATTTTGCATATTTTTGGAATACATTTATATATTTTATATATCTTTTAATGTTCAAATAGTAATAAAATGGTTAACTGCCAATTTTTCAAATATTACTAACAAATTTCTAAGAATTTAATTATTTTTAAAACATAGCCAAGTTTTCACTATATAAATTCATGGTAAAAATGTTCTCTCTTTGGCAGAATGGAATAAGATAATTAGTGACAAATGGTAAAATAAGTTTGTTTTAGGTACTATACATGTTAGTAACCATGTATGTGCAAAAAATCAAAGAGGCAGCATGGAAAACGCAGATATTTTTGAGTACATTTAAATAACCTTAATTGAAATGACACC